TCATTTTTAAAAGAAGATTCTAAAGCTAATTTTATCTTATTGTGGAACTAGGGATTGAACTCAGGGGTCTTATGCATGCTAAGGTAACCATTTCCACCACCACACCACACCCCCTCAGTCCCTTAAACTAATATTTTAAAAACAATATGAAATTAATTCTAAGGAAATCTTCTTTGAAAAGAGCTGAGCTTATAAAATTAATCTATTAGCTAGAATTTAAGATTTCACTGTTTTAGCCAGGGGTGATGTCGTTTGCCTGTAATCCCAAGTATTTTGGAGGCTGAAAGCAGAGGATCTTAAGTTTAAGGCCAGCCTGAACAATTTAGCAAAGCTCTGACTCAAAATAAATAAAGGGCTAGGGAATGTAACTCAGTAGTAGAGAGCTCCTGGTTCTCTATCATCTGGTTAATTTTATGTTTAATTTATTTAAAGACTACTAAACTATTTTCCACGGCAGCTACCATCATTTTAAATGTTCCCACCAGCAATATATGAAGATTCCAATTTCTCTATACACTTACCAACACTTGTTATTTTCTGGTTTTTCTTTTTTCTTTTTTTTTTTTTTAAAAATGGTTGTCCTACTGGCTATGAAACGGTATCTCACTGTGGTTCTGATTTTCATTTTTAAAGGAGTTTGACTTTTATTCTGAATGTTTTGGGAAACCACAGAAAGTTTAAATAGGGAAATAAGATGAGCTAATTAAATGTTTCAAATTATAAATTGAGCAGGGAGCAGTGGTGCACACCTGTAACCCCTGCAAATCAAGAGGCTGAGGCAGGAGGATAGAAAGTCCAAAGCCAGCCTCAGCAATTTAGTGAAAACCTATCTTAAAAAAAAAAAAAAAAAAGGACTGAGGCTGTAGCTCAGTGGTAAAGTGCCCCTAGGTTCAATCCCTTGTAAACAACAACAAAAAAAGTTATCTATTCTGTGGAAAATAGAAGATGGAGGGAATCCAGAATGTAGGCAGGGAGACCAATTAGGAAGCCACAGCAAGAACAGGTGAGAGATGATAGCTCATGGTAAGGTGGGAAAGAAAAGAGGCCAATAAATCCATGGATTTAAAAATACATTTTACAAACAATGTTGCATAATGACCTGAAAAAAAAAGAGATGGAAAGATATAATAATCTTCCAGATTTCTGGTTTGAGCAACTGCATGATACCTAAATAAGAGGGTGCAGCATTA